AGACATGATGAGGGCTCCAGAGTCTTGGGGAAGAATTAGATATTTATCTCCATTTAGGCAGTGTGCCAAAATAGCCATAAAAACACACCTAAAGTCAATTTAAATGCATGCATGTGAGCAATCTGCAAACTCTACTGAGAAAGGCTCCATTTAAGTTTCAGTCTGTGAAGTAACAGTGCTAACCACCGGAGCTATCACACGTCCACATCTACAAGAAATTAAAAAAAAAAAAAAACTACTGATGGATAAAAATCAAATATGCATCCTGCATAATTCTAAATTCAGTGTACCAAACTTATCTGAAATGTCGCTTCATGTTCCAATCATTCAAATATTGCTTGAAAACTCTCTGAGGAAAAGAAATCTACACAGCTGTATAACTGAACATTGCCCATGTGGTCTTTCGATGGCAATAACTATGTTTTCTTTCATCTGTTAAGAATCCTGTGGTGAAGAAGAGCTTGTCATGCCTGAAGGACTACATCTATGATTTCAGCAACACGTACACCACAGCTCTGCTTGCATACGTCTTCACCCTGGCAGAAAACTGGGAGGCTCGCTGTAAGCTTCTGAACTACCTTGACTCGGTCGCGATAAGAGAGGGTGAGTCTGCTTCCTGATATAAGTCATCCAGGATGTGCCACCGATGCATGCACTTGTAATGCTAACACAGCTGCATACTTGTTTAGGGGATCTTCAATACTGGTGTTTGACACCAAAGCAAAACCCACGTTCTCTGTGTGTGGAGATCAGTTCATATGTGCTACTGGCCAAAGTCGGTGACTCTCTCTCTGAAGGAGACCTGTCCTGCTCCTTGAGTATCCTCAGATGGCTTATTAAGCAGCAGTCCTACTACGGAGGCTTCGAGTCCACTCAGGTATTGTGTTGGATTACAAATCAAGATGCTGCTCTTAAGTGCACATAACAGAAAATCAACATAATCTTACTGAACATGCCAAAAGCAGATATTCTACTAAAAGTCTAACACTTTCTGGTTTCCCTTAAAAGAATATTTTTTGGGGTATATTAATTTGCGCTTACTATTGTCATCCATCTATTATCTAATGTCTGGGACAGGGTCAGGGATAGTAAATGCTGTGTGTGTTACATGTTGTAGGACACAGCGGTGGCTATTAAAGCTATGACCCTCTACAGCTCTAAAGTTTTGAATCGAGAAGGTTCCTCCTCTGTGACTGTGTCATCCCCCACTGATCACCTATCTTTCCAAGTGAACCAAAACAACAAGTTGGACCACCAGGAGCTGGTGCTGCAAGGCCTGAAAGGAAAGTACTGGCTGAGGGCTGAGGGCACTTCATGCTCTGTAGTACAGGTCAGTGACTGAAACAGTTGGATGATGGTCAAAGATTAAAAAAAAAAAAAAAAAAAATCATACTTTTCTGTTGAAAAGAAACGAGATAAGGTTGTTGAAAAATATCTTAACTTCCAATTTTCATCTGGTTTCCAGGTTACTTTTGTTTACAACGTCCCTGTTTCAGCCGTTGTCAGCAGTCTCAGTGTGGAGGCCAAAGTAGAGATCCACAACTGTTGCCATGACCGCTTAGTCACGCTGAAGCTGAAATCCTCGTAAGTAAACAAGAAAGTTACTGTTGCAGACAGGAAGACTGTTGTCATCTAGCCATTCATCTTTAATACATACAAGGTTTGGGGGTTACTTGGAGCTGCTTCTTTCAAAGCAGTCACTATTCCAAATTTGTGTTCACTCTAGACATGTCATCAGTCTATTTCAAGGACTACATAGAGATAAGCAACCATGCTATTCTTTTGCGCTGTTGGGGAAAAAAGCTAGATTAGTTGGAGGAAAAGTGTGAATTCACAAAAAGAGAAAGGCACACAAAACTTCACCAAGAGAGGCCTCAGCAGAGATTTGAACTTGCAACCTTTTTGCCCCACAATGTCACACTATTATGACACAATAACTCCTTCCATCCATTTCCTATACCTGCTTAATTCTTGTACGAGTTGAGAGGATATGGGAATGGTTCACTATGTCCAATGGTCATTTTGCACCAATCTGATGGTATCTGACGATACCAATCTGATGATTAGGTAACAGATTTAAAGCAATAAACAATATTTTGTCGTGGAGCTCATGTGTCTATTTATTCAATAATCTAGCAGCAAAAATGTTTATTGAATTGTAAATTAATTCATTTTTTAATCAGAAAAATTGCAAAATTTTCTGTCTGTCCCACAGAATCTAAAATATTTAGATATTTATCAATAATCAATACCAACATGTATTGATTTCTGTTGATTTAACATAAACCTTGGGATTAAATGGCTTATCAAGAACAATTCCTCCTTGAACATAATCTTAGATGATGGCATACTTAGCTCATTTCATAGACACTGAACAAAAGACGTTGGTGTTAAGAACAAGAGTGTGACCATTTTCATCCTTGCCTAACAGATACAGTGAAGGCCGTAGCTCTACCAACATGGTGGTGCTGGACATTGCAGTGCCCTCTGGATTCTGGCCTGTCCCCGCATCCTTGTGGAATGTGAGTAACTCTTTAATGTGAAGTGAAATGTTGCAATAAAGTGTGCATTGATACAATTCCAATAGAAACTTTGCATACACTCTCACACATGACTGTGACTTTAACTTTGTGCTGTCATTAATCCTATTTGAAGACGTTCGCTCTGGCTATGTGCGAAGCTGCAAATTTCAGTCATCCTTAAAGGGATTCATATCGGAGATGCTTGTAATTCAGACGGAATCAAGATGCAATAACAGGACAATAATCCCAAACATACACCTGAACTGGTTTTAGAATGGATTAAGAAAGCTGGATTTAGCTTCTTGATTGCTCCCCAAAGCCCTAAATTTAGAGGATATTTAAATTTTATAGAACATGTAAATAAGAGACACATCAGTTGTAATAAATCAGCATATTTAAATGAATCTACCAATTTTGCCAAGATGAATGTTCAAGTGTCCAGTCAGCAACATGTCAGAACCTACAATAAGCTTGTGTCCCAAGTGCAACTTGTTTAGATTTGTTGCTGTTTGTGCCTGTAATTAAGCCTCCATGTATAATTTTGACCATTTGAGGATAAGAGATAATCCATATCCTAACTTGTGCACCAAAACACACTCACATACATTAAACATTTACCTGAATGTCTTCTCCTCACAGCTAAAGAAAGGGGTGTTGGTGAGCAACGTTGAACACAAGGACGGTCATGTTTTTGTATACCTACAGGAGGTGAGAGGACTTTAGCGTGTTCTACAGCAGATGCTGCTGGTGAAGTTTATTGCCTGGAGTTGAGGTTTTTTTTTTCTTGTTTAGTTACAAAAGGATATTCCTGTGTTCCACGAGTTGGAGATGATTCAGGAGTATGAGGTGCAGCACCTGAGGCCATCGACGGTCACCATCTATGATTACTACTGTCCAAGTAAGACTGCACAGCTTAGTGTTCAGCAAATCACGCGATTACAGATCTGGATATGACCGAGATTAAATATGTTTGATCATTTAGTTAAACTTCTTTTTTCTTTTCTTTGAAGGTGTCAAGGGTGTGACAGAATACTGCGGAAAGAACTGCTACGAGATAGCGAATTCATATGATCACTATCAACCCCAGAACAACAGATATAAACCCAACCACCAAAACCGTCATGACCACCAAAGCCATCACCATGACTCACATTACCACCCAAGCCATCAGGAACCGCCCCCACACAGATATCACAGCCGGCGCCGCTACAGCCACCACTTACTTCCCTTCCACCGCTATAGGCATGGCAGCCACAATCTCTATCACAACTACCCCAGATATGACAATGACTATGACTATGACGACGATTATTACCGTGGCTAAAACAAGGACTCAGTCGTCCAACAGGCATGACGTCTCTGTTTAAAATTAAGCTGGTTATTAAACTGGCTACATGCACTGTTCAAACTGCAAATTTTCTGAGATTTTACAAATTAAATATATATATATATATATATATATATATATATATATATATATATATATATATATTTTTTTTTTTTTTTTTTAGATTGTAGCCATCCTCAAGGTCATCATCAGTGATTAAGACATTATCTAAGCCCCTGCTGTTTTTTAAATGCTGTTTTGTGTTTTTTGTGTTATCCTGCACTCTAAGCTAAAATATAAAGAGTTTTGTGGTGCGTTATGTGTCTGTGTTAGAGTCTAATCATGTTTTTATTCCAACATGGTGTTTTCAGGGTGATGTGTGCTGCTAAGGAGGGGCCTGTCCAGGGCACCCTTCCTATTAGCACCACCTCTGACAACAGGTTCAGGTCCTTAATTGAATAATTCAAAAGAGCATTCAACAACAATTTAAATTTAAACGTGAAAACTGATTTATTTTGGTGCTGAATCAACACTTGGCCACATACAATTTCATTTCCTCTGGTCTGGACGATGACGGTCAATGGAGAGACCTGCTGAAACTGCTGTTCAGAGGTCACGCTGTCTAATCCATCCATATTTGCAGGTTTTCATCTGAAATTAATTCCATGTTTTCCTTCCAGGATGGGACCTGTCTGTCAGTGTTTAAGTCTGTTTTTAACCCAGTTTCTCCTAGACATTTTGTTGCACCTAATTGTTTTTTTTTTCCTCCATTCCATTCAGCCTTTAAAGTCAGTTAAGCTGTTTCTCTGATTAAGCCACCAAATGAGTTTCTACTCTACTGCAACTAACTCTCTTTTCTGGATCATGTTATTTATTTATTTTTTTTTCTGTCTCTCTCTGCTCTGTTCTTTCAAATGGGACATTTTAATTTACAACACTAGTTCTTGCACACAAATATCTCTTTTCCTCAACGGTTTTTTCTTCTTTCTGTATTTTTCTTTAAAAACATCACATAAACCGGGCTCATAAAAGGAATCACTTTAACATTTGCCACTGAGCGTTATTAGATTATTGTGTGCAGAAAAAGAAACCGGGAAAGTGCTTTCGGCAACATGACGTCACTTCCTGTATGTAGGGGGAGACCAAATGACAGCTGGTTTGTTTTCATCAACAAGGGGGATCCAGTGTGGACATAAAGGTACGTACGCACCTACCATCATGTCATTGTCTGAGCCCAGCTCAGAGTATTATCACCGTCCTGGAGAACATTAACACCACATTTCTACGGTTTCCATCTGTTCTCCGTTTCGGGCTCCATCGAGCCGTTGCTCCTGCTGCTGGGGGTCAGACTGGTTATTTTCAGAGTAGACAGGACTCTGACCGTGAGATACAAGCAAGATGTAAAGCTTAGTAATCTGTCTATAGTAGTCATTCCCCTGTTTATGTTTTTACTGTAAACGGGAGCTGTTACCATTCAGATTAGGTTCGCCATCCTTCTGCTTTTAAACACCAGATTCCTTTAAGAAATCGGTGAATTTTAGACTCGATGGGGCCTTTTAATCCAATTTATGAAATGACAACATAAACATAACGCGTTGGTGCTTTCGGAAAATTATTTGCATGGGATCGGCATTATTTATTTTCAAAGAAACATTTCACATATGCTTAAGTCAGTAACTTTTTTGTTAGATTTATCCGTGTTTGCCAAGTGGATTTTTTGTGGTGCGTTCGAGTCGAACTCGATTGTCGGAATTTCCGATTTCCAAATTGGTGAATCGGGAAATGGATTTCGTATTGACGTCACACCCATCTGGAACTGTGCTTCATATGCAATTTCTCTTAATACTGTAAATATGTACAAGTCAGTGAATGAAATTTGCAAAATAAACAGTTTTTTGTGTTTCATTAAATGGTTGAGGGACACTGTGCTGTACCTTTTTTTTGCATGTTTTTTTATTGCAATAAAATAAAAACAAGAAAAGAAAAAAACTTGGCTATTCAGTGAAGGATTTGTAAAATTATCTATGCTGAATTTCCCATTCAAAAAGTATACATTGAAATAAAATAATAAAAGAGAAAATCATATTGCTATTCTAAGGACAGTGCCAGAAGTGGTAAATTCCATTTGAAAACGTGTTGTTTTCACCACTGTTTCATACTTCAAAATAAATACAGAAGTCACAGAATATTAAATCTTTTGGTCATTTGTATCATAAGTTAGGCAAATTGATACAGGTCTTATCCGAAGGCCTAAATTGTTTCTGGTTTTCTGGTAAGACAGTAAAGAATAGAAACCCATGCAGCAACACGTGGAGAAGGGGCAATTCTGCATTACCCCTTTGTCCATACAGTCATATAAAACTCTGCCACTTTCTGTAAAATCTTATTAAAAATGCTTTAAATTGTAGGAACAGCATGATGGAGTGTTTTTCTGGGGTTTCAGATTGTAGTTATTTAAAATGTTGTGTTACTTTGATACACAACTGGCCAAGAGTGGACTCTCCATATTAGTGGATATAAATCTAAAGATAAGGAAACGTTTGTGCAGTGAAATATTAACTGTGGGTTAGAAAATCCAATAAAAATAAACTTTTATTAATAAATAAATGTCATTTATATTTATGAACTGCCTATCAGTGTTTTCTAGAAGTTATGGCAAATGTGAAATTCATGCTGAAGAAATAATGCATTTTGATTTACAATAGAAATCAACAACGCTAGTTTAATGATGAGCAAATCGCAGTCTCTTTATAACTGATTTATTGAATTAAAACAGCCACTAGCTCAGAAATAGATATTTACTGCGTGAAAAGGTTTCTGAATAAAAGTGTCTCTATCAGCTTGCTCACAGCAGCTCTAATGGAGCTCTGCTGTTTTGCACTAATGATCTTTATTGGTGAGCATGTCAATGAGCAGAGACTGATCCTTGACCTTGTTTGTTCTGCAGTGACATGCGGTGATCCTCCTCACTTATCTGGTCAGACAAGAGCGCCAATAAGGGGAGCAGCGTTTTCTTTCTGCAGACTTCTCCTCTCTCCTTCCATCCATTCTGGAGTAAGATGTTAACCGCTTATTTAATTAGTCGTAGCTTTGGTAGGACATCCAAGAGATGATCTGTGTAGATGATTATATCAGATATAAATCACACTCATTCCGGTGTTTCTGACAGGTCGCCCGTACAGAAACAGCACCAGACAGCTGACTGCGGCCGCATCAAACCAGACGCTGGTTCAGGTATGGCGACTGAACCCCCACTGTTAGAAAACACTGTGATGTCACTTTAGGCAGCTGCATAAGACACTGTAATATGATCCTTTATATTTTTATTCAAGCAACAACTGATACATAATTTATGTTTCCCTCCAGCATATTCCACAGTGAGGCTCTGCCTGCCAAGCCTTATAAAACAGATGCTGGTCATTTTAATTATGGGAAGTCAAGTGATTATCTTGGTCCACGTGCTACGGTTTCTTTTTCTACATTTAAAGGGGAAGCCTTATGTATTTTTCTGGGCACATAGTTACATTTTCTAGCACCATCAATTACCTTCACTTGTAAAAATGCTTTATATAGCAAACAAGTTCAACAGACGCGCAGTTCCACCAGCTGTTTGCTGTTGCTACTAGTCTGAAGGAACTGAGTGGGGAAGGCATAAGGGAGGGTGTTAAACTTTTTTTATTTTTAAAGTATTGTTAGAGTCCTTTCAAGCAGAAAAGCAAGCATTAAGTATGGAGGTACAATGAGCATTGGCAGAAAAAAGCAGTGCTGTGCTCAAGACCGCTCTGGCTATCATCCATGTTATCCAATTAATTTGTTTACAGTAGCTCATATGTAATAAAAAAAAATAGGCAATAGTTATTCTGAACCCATCCTTATCAGATTTAAAGGACAGAGTGTAGGAGCATGCTGTAAGCACTGCCACTACTCTGTGTTGTTTGTTTACAGAATGCATTGAGAAAAAATATCAACGAAAACAATTATAAAGCCTCAAACCATAATGATTCCACTGAAAAATAAATATATTTCCTAAATTTATTGCATGTTAAATAAAATTACTACAGCGCTCCCTTCTTATTTTTTTTCTTTTCCAAAACCAGTTCTTGAACTACTTAACTATGTCTACGTCTTATGAAGTCAAATCAACAGAAAACATTGCAAAGATCTAGAGGTCCCTAGCGGTGAGATAAGTTCTTGAAGGGTTGTGACATTTACCTGACATTCGTTTCCACAGCTGAAGAGGAGGCCGCTGTTCAGGAAAGCGTCATGGAGCCTCCAGAAGACAGGGAAGGTCGTTCCTTTGTGGAGGTTATCAATGAGAAGTACAGCCCAGAAAACTTCCCGTACCGCAGAGGCCCTGGGATGGGAGTGGTGGTGGTTCCCACTGCAGGTCTCCAGGGTTCCCCCATGAAGGGTGAGATGGAGAGGTCACCTTTGCCTTGTTGGCAGCATACTTATTTTATTTCTGCTGAGAGGCGTTTTGTTATTTATTGGCACCAAGTTTTACCCTGTGATTAAAATAATCAAAGGATTTGTTCATTCTTGCACAATGACTGTATGATGAATGAATATTTTCTTATGTTTTTATTTTATTTTCATTTATTTTTTTATGAATTTTTTTTATTTTATTGTATTATTTCTGTCTCAAACCAATAACATTGTTTCTATGATGCCTCACCTTGTTTTGGTTTTGAATTGTTTCAGTTTTTACATTTCCTGAAACCACTGGCAGGTCAATAGAAGGAAATGCCAAACATTTTTTCCCCCACTAATTCTAACCACATTTGCACAGATGCCCTGATAAAATGTTCTGTCACATCTATGTCTGACATGTTAATATGAAGTATTATGGTGGCTTTTTTTTTTAAAGTAATAAGAACTACACACTTGAGGGAGCAATGTGACATTTAGTATATTTAACCAAGAACACTTCACTTTAAAAACGGCTGCAGTTAAAAGTAATAACCTAATCAAAGTCTGAATCACAGGGTGTTCTGTGGTGTAGCTGGCAGAGCATCTTTCCTTCTTCTCTTTCTGTCCATTTCTTGTCACTAAACGCCACGAGTGCTAAACGTACATAAGTACGTTGTTAAATATCATTTATTTGCTGCTGTCGCCCTAACATCTGACTGCTTAAACTGCACAGAAACGACCGCCTTACAAATCAAAACTACCATGATTGACTTTATGAATGATTTAATTTGAAGGGTGAGATTAAATAAATGTACTCTGTATCTAACAAATTGTCATGAAGTAAAGATATTTATTTAAAAATTGTACATAATTAGAAGAAAAATTCTTAATAAATTATTTTTGATGCGTGCATCTGAAGTTTTAATATGTTCACACATATAAATATCAACTTTGAGACTTTTTAAATTGTATTTAATTGTGGCTGATGTCCACATTGTTCATATTTTAAGCTTCTGCTTGTTTGGATTTGAGCTCAAAATGCCACGAGCAGAAACGTCCTGCAGGAGTTTAGATTTGTCAGCAGTATCTTCATGTCATTCACAATGGATCACCTGCAGCCACAAATTCTGTTTTCCTTCTCTCTTACTGCAAGGAGGGAAAAAAACGATCATTTAAAAATCAAAGCTATTTTATGCAACTTAAATATAAGGCCTGCATTTTTTTTTTCACAAACAGACATATGTAGAAAAACTATTCTTTCCCCTCTATAGTTGTACAGTCCAGTTCTGCATCCTGAACTACTCCTGTAACTTCTAAGTGAAGTGTTCACTCTGAACTTCCAGACCTAGTTGTGTTCACAGCCCTTAAAAAAAACTTTAAAATGTCCCTCTGTCCCTCACACTAGACCGTCTGAACTTGCCCAGTATGCTGGTGCTGAATGGTTGTGGGATCAGCAAAGCAGGAGACCAGGCTGAGATCGCTGCCTTCTGTGCTCATGTCATTGAGCTGGATCTATCGCACAACAATCTTCAAGACTGGCAAGAAGTAACTTTGAAATCTATCAGTCCTTTCTGACTGTAGATAGTGTTAATAATATCAAATTAGGTTAAGCAATGACTATTTATAGTTGTTGTTTTTATTGTGTTGAAACAAATGTGTAAAAAAAAAACAACAGAAAACTTTTGAGTAGTAGGATTTGGACTTTTCCTCACAGTCTTTCTGGTGTTAAATCTGAAAACAAAGTTAGATGTATGCAGGTTCTCAACCCCTCAGTGTGACATATTTTCAGATTCCCAGTTTTTAAAGCTTTCTTTGTGTGTATCAGATTAAAAATACTGATCCTATTTTTTTCAGATCAATAAAATTATATCAAGCATCCCCAATCTGGAGTTCCTCAACCTGAGCTCCAACCCGCTGGCAGGAACCACTCTTGAGCCGCAGTGTGCTGAAGCCTTTTCACGAGTGCGACGCCTTGTTCTCAACAACACTCAGATATCCTGGGATACAGTGATGCTGCTGACCCAGAACATCCCTGAGTAAGAAGAGCTACACTAAATCCCTGCTTTTAAAGGAGTGATGTTACGTATTTGGCTGCCTCTTAACTGGTTGGTTGTTTTATCATTTATTATTTATTCCTGTAAATTTAAGTGTACATCCAAAACAACAGATGAATAGTTTCACCAGAAACTACGTGTGCGTACTCTTCTGAGATCTCCCTGTCTCTCCCTGTTTTTCCCTTCAGTGTGTATTTTCCTCAGCCACGGCTGGACTCTCCCTTTGTTCTTCTGCAGGCTAGAGGAACTGTTCCTGTGCCTTAACGAGTACAGTAGTGTGAGTGCCTCCAGCGTGGCCTGTCCCACCCTGCGCCTCCTTCACATCACAGACAACAGCCTCCACGACTGGGCCGAAGTGGGCAAGTTTGGCTCCATGTTCCCCAGCCTGGACACTCTGATCATGGCCAACAACAACTTGGCCTCCATTCAGGACAACAAGGATATCCTGGCACGACTCTTCCCCAACCTGCGCAGGATCAACCTAAACAACTCAGGTCAGTGGGTCGCAGCGTGGGCTTGTTTTGATTCGCTGTTAGACTCTTTGAATTAGTCTCTTATGATAGTTCTATCTTGAGGATTAATGTTGCTTTAGCTGAGTGGTTTCATTTTGTATTGTAGAGATTTAAAATTAGGTTTTAGTATCATGGCAGCAGATAATTTTAGCACAACAAGCATGGGTCTTTTTATTATAAAAACTTTGTTCTAAGAGTTCTCTCCACACAGCCTTTAATCTCAAGCAGTGTGTCTATTTACAGGAACAGAGTGAAAGCTGTTTTCAGAGGGAGAAGGACAAAATCAACATCAGAGAAATGTTCAAATTATTCATTTCCATTCATGTATCAGACTGCAATTGTCTGTCTGAAGTGTTTGCCACCTGAAAGCCATCCTTCGTCAGAGTTATTCTTTAAATGACAAATGTATTTGTTGTAAAGATTATTTGGAAAGTGTATTCAGCAGCATTTGGAGCAGTTTTCTTGCACAACCATAATGTGCAGGCAGGCAGGCAGTACTGTATTAATATACCGTAATTTCCTTTTATAATACTTTGTTAAATTTTTTTTCAAATTGATCTTAAAAGGACTTGTTCTAACTTGAGTATAAACGTCTCCCTCACAGCAATTCTGCCGGAAACAAAAGCCGCTTCATTGAACTGCTTCAACACCTGAAAACCCTTTATAGGTTTTCCGTAAAAACGTCATGTCCGTTCAGTTGAAAGTCGTCGCTCAACTTCTTGGTGCATGTGTTGTCAGGTCTCAACCGATGGGAAGACATTGAGAAGCTGAACTTCTTTCCAAAGTTAGAGGAGGTGCGACTGCAGGGCATTCCCTTACTGCAGCCTTACACCAAGGCAGAGCGCCGCAACCTCATGATAGCACAGTGAGTCTCATCCGTCACGAATAAAACCATTTGAGACTATTTTTGTCTCCTATTTTGAGACTCATGTGAGACACCCTAGTGCATAACTTGCTCATGTTTACATGGCTCTCCTCAGGCTTCCCTCAGTGTCCCATCTAAATGGTAGTGTTGTGACTGACAGCGAGCGAGAGGATGCAGAGAGGTTCTTCATCCGTCACTACCTAGACTGCCCCGAGAAGGAGCTACCGTTCAGGTAAACTGCACAACCTGTTTGTCTTTTATCATAGCTTCAAAAGTGAAGTGTGTTTTGTGTTTGTTTGTGGAGTTAAAAAAAAAAGAAACCTGCTCTTTCCGTGCCCAGATACCATTCCCTGATAACCAAATACGGCAAGCTGGAGCCGCTCGCTGAAATCGACCTCAGACCTCGCTGCAGGGCTCAGGTTGAAGTTCACTGTGAGGAGAAAGTAGAACAGGTTAGTTTGGTAATGATTTAATACCAAAAATACCGTCATAACGAAGTACTTTGGGACAAGTTTCCCTCTAAACAGAGAGCAAGCACTGAAATAATCTTGTAGCCACTTAAGGCTAGCCAGTCCTTGTCTTTATTAGGACCAGAAATGTATGTTTCTGAGCCCAAAAATAACTGTTGCCATCAAAGACTTTTTTTTTTATTTCATAGCGTCCATCAAATTGAGCTAAACAAAAATGTTAAGCCAGTCTTGACCAACCCATTTCATGTTGTTTAGTTGGAAGGTCATATAACTGCATATTGATTGAAAATTTGCGCAGGGGTTTATGATGAAACAATGGTGCAACTCTGGTTCCATTTGGCTTTGTTTCAGCTGTGCATCCGTTTGGACCAAACCGTTGCCGAGCTGAAAAAGCAGCTGAAGACTGTGGTCCAGCTCTCCACCAACAGTATGAGGCTTTACTACATCGACAAGGACAGCGCCTTTGGGCCAGAGGAATTGAAGTACAACAACCGGGCTCTCCACTCCTACAGCATCCAGGACGGTGGTGAAATACTGGTAGTGCCCAAGACCAAGTAGAAGCCTTTTGTTTAGAAGCTTGATAAGAAAGATTTAGATGTCTAGAACTATGTTGATTGCTTAATTGTTATTGCTTGGAAACACTTCTGAAACAGCAAAGGTGGCGTGTCTTGTTGAATGGAGAGAGGCAGTAAAAGGATGAACGCCATCTTGGAGACTGGAAAAAGAAACTACAGTGGGCCGCCGGTTGGCTCTCGCTGAAAGTCCGGAGATGATATATTTCAGCTTTATTTAAAGAGAAACTCACGTGAGTTGAAAGATTTTTCATGCTAGAGGCTAAGAGAGCAACATGGATTCTGCTTGCAGCGTTAGCAGACAGGAGGGCACTGCAGCAAATCTCAGCTGCTTATTTATTACACGGCATCCACCAAAGCACCTTCACGGACAAATGCCCAGCACTGCTCGCTTGCCCACCTGTTCAACAGCTACCCTGGTTTTGGCATAACAAGAACCTGTTGCCATGTGGAGACGGACGGCTGCTCTCAGGTGCACTTTGGCCTTCGATACTACAGAAAATCTGCCTAAATTAAAATGTCAAACGCAGGATGGGGGATAAAACTGGGTCCAATTCTGTTGGAGGATATTTTAGTCATGTTTTTACAGTCCTTATGAAACTACAAGAAATATTAAACTGACCACCCCACCAGTATTGTGTAGCTTACATAGACTGATGGTCCACGATTGGTGCTTTTATGAAACAATAATCGCAGTTACAGTCTAGTTTCCAACCAGAAATTGATATAAGCTAAGTGTAAAATGTGTTTCCTGTTGGCAAACAATAAGAAAGTTGATAGGAAATTAATAGAAAGAGCTTAATTATACCAGTTTATCACAACAAATCCTCAGCTGCCACTATTATGTAAAATCACATTACACTGAGATGTGATATTTGATATCACAAACCTCTTCTTTAGTGTATTCACTCACACAACCACAGGTGTTTAATGTTGTATGCTGCCCCCTGCAGGGGGTTGTGATGCATAAACACAACTTGAATGACAATCTTTGTGATCAGCCTTTATGATTAGACAAGTGTGTTTGATTTAACAGTTCTCATTTAGTTTTGTATGTTTAATAATTCAAAAAGGGGATTCTATTCGGCAGATTAATTTATCTCTCTACAAACAGTAGAGGCCGAGAGATGTTGGTATGTCTGATCAGTATCATCATCTTTTAAACGTACATTTCAATTTTTATTGCATAAGCCTGCAACACATTCCAAATTAGACATTTCAAGTATTTCAGAGTGGAGATGTTCTGTCATCTGAAAATCAACCAGTTTTCTTTAAAGCACAACAGTAAGAAGTTTTCATCCTCTTCAGACATTTGGTTTTAAATTTCTCCACAGATTCTCTTTTTTACATCAGATCATAATCATATTTGGGACAGTCTCTTTTCTTCCTCTGCCATAACTTTGTAAGGTATGGAGAGTAATATTTTACACTGCCTTTTTGAGAAACGTGTGAACCTCCTAGGGGAAGACCCACATGTTGTTCTGAAATCTCTGCTGTGCTTTTGTGCATCAATGCAGATATTATAGAGGTGGAAATGAGGGCTAGGTAAAAAATTAAAATAATAATAAAAAATAATCCTAGCCTTTGGATGGGATGTTGACACTCCTGTTCATATTCAGTCTGTGTACAGAAATGAGCAGTTTAAGCCTGTGCACTAACACCATAGTCATTTCATGATATTCTGGACTGTTAAGGGAGAAATATGCAAATTCCATTTGTATTAAAGGAATATTGATTTAGTGCCTTGCTAAATAATTCACACTTTTGCATAGTTTGCCAATTTGCAGTTAGGGGATTTTGTGTGACAGACCAAACCAAAGTAGTAGACTGGGGAGGAAGATTTATTTTACTTAATACACCTGTCATCCAAAATTCTTCTTCAGTTCTGAACCAAAGTGGGAATTATTGCATATAATTACAGGAAGAACAGTCACTCTCAAAGATGATCTGAACAGGTCACCTAACAATGCAACCCATATGTGTTTATTCACATCTCAAGTTGTGAATGGTTGCAAAAACTGCCCAAAGAGACAGGACAAGGCTGCACTGTAGGTGTTAGAAAGATGGAACCTGACACCACCACCTCTGTAGCCTGCAATCTAGGGTAAACATAGAAAACCAGAAAAGTTAGCCTGTCACAGGAGCAGCTTTTACACCAAATCATATCTACAAAAATCAGACATCTTCACATATTTTAAATCCCATTTGTTCTTTCACTTTACAAAATGCCATTCATAGATTGTCTTTAAATGTGTTGCAGGCTTGAAATGCATAATAAATGGCACTGAATGCAAAATATTACAAATCTCAGCAGAGTACAGTGTCTTCATTGAAGGTTTGCACTTTTTTTATTTTTTTTATCTTCTTTATATTTTTGAAATGCTGTATAAGCAGTGCATAAGCAGATGCTGATATTAGTTGTGGCATTTAAACACACTTTTGACCTGCCCTGGGGACATTTATGTATTTTACCTTTCCATCCATCCTGCACAAAAACACTTTCACCAAACACTGAATAATATCTTAGAATCAATATTATTACTGTGATTACAGTTATTACAATGTGGTATATATATATACAATAGTTATTGATTTTATGAGAACGTATCCTTCTTGTAAACAAGAAGCATTGACCTTAAGAGTTTGGTGCTAATGATTTTCCTTTAACAAGCTACTTAGCAGAGTCCCAAAACATTGTTACAGCTATGGACAGCTATATTAATGCTATGTTACTGTTCAAGAAATCAGCTCAACATTTTGTTGAGCTTCAAAATGAAATGTCCCTTCCTAGTTGCTCCTGGGAGACAAATCTCTAGCTGTGGTCTATTAACAAAAAGATCCAGCTCTCTTTTTAGGGAATCTGAATTACATTTTAACACCTTAAGTTCAAAATCTTTCAACTGATCAAGCTTGTGTAATATGCTACATTATACATCGGTTCTTTAGCACAAAGTTAGAAATTATTTTAATTCTCCATTCTATTTGTAAAAGCAAAAAGGGAAATTTTAAAAGATTTTTTTCTCCATCAGATACACATAAGATTGAGACAATAATAAAACTGCAGTTTTTTTTTTACCCAGAATGAACTTGAATTAAATTATTTAACATTAATAAATTCTTTAAGAAACTGTTTTAAATGTTAAAGTCTAATTTGCCTTGACATTGAAATTCTTAGTTCTCTAAGCCAATGGTTAACTGTATTTTCCTTTCCACTTCAAAACTAGAGAAAACTTGATATTTGAGTAAATTAGGAATCTCCATTTTAGAGCTGATGCTCGAAAGTTTTTTTCCCTTATCTAGAGTGTTTGTTCTCCAAATCTATGACTATACTTGAATAAGTGTTAAAGGATAAAAAAAACAAGTTGGACCCTTTCCTCCATATTTGATCACAGCAGTTTTGAAATCAATGTTAGTTTAGCATGAATTGCAGCCATAGCAAACAGAACAAAGAGGCAGTAATGTAGTGCAAGCACCAACCATCAGGTTTCAGGTACTACTACCTGAATGTGTCTTAATCAATGTGAGCTTGTTTGGAATAAGAGAATGTTGCATTAATTTGCAGCGAGAGATGATATAATGATATGCATGTTATCTACTTATTGATTGTGTGTTCACAAGGAAAGTTTTCACACCTGCCTAGATCCATCGAGTAATGCACTTCATGACACTGTGTCTTAATTTAACAGAGAGTGGATGATTTCAAGCCTTTATGTAGAGATTTATCATTTCTTGAAATTCTGGTGTAATGTTTCTTCTGTTGTGAGCTGAAATTTAGCCTTTTACAGCCCCTTAAAGTACCATACAGATTTTTTGTAATTAAAAAAAAGATTTAAGTGATGTTTGATTGACATAAGACGTTGGCATTAAAGTTTTTCATATTTAAAATCCACAAGTAAAAGGCTTAAAAACAACAAAACTCCCACACACATAGGTCCTTTAATTGCAAAGTTTTACCTTTATTATTTTCTGAAGTTCCTCTTTACCTGTCTGTTTAGCTGTCTTGTGCTGCAGGTTTTGCATTTGTCAGAGTTAAGGCGCCATCAGCATGAAGCATCAGCTTCCAGAGAATCAAACTGAGAGGTTTTCATTTCAAGAACCATTTTTTATTAATTATTCAGCAGTTCAACATGGAGACATCCACCACACAAACCAAAACCACACCAGCAGTATCTTCAGTAGATCAGAATGCACTTAAACATTATTATTGATATCTTTACTTTTTATTCAAGATAAGTGTAATTTTCATGTTTTTTGCACATTGATGTACTGTAAGTTAAAACATTGTAAAAAAAACATTTTGTTCAGTATTTGAAAAAAAATTCTTATTTGCTTTTTTTTTTTTTTTTTTTTTTTTTTTTCTTATTTAATATTAAATGAAAAAAATCAAGTTTTTTTTCAAAATTCAA